GAGGCTTGGCCACGGATGTCACCGCTGTCCTCATCAGACAAGGGACCCTCCACGGTCTGAGGCATTCCTTAACGAACGCCCCCACAATATGTTGTCCTGTGGGTTGTCCCATGGTTGGCCCTAATCTGTCCCGCTGTTGTCCCACGGTGTGTCCTGCTGGTGCCCAATGGGAAAGGCAAGCCAATCGAAACACAAATCGTAGCGGACTTCGACCTGCCAATTGAATTGCACATGCACTTGCAATCGACACGCAGACTCTACTCGGAAATGGGGGGGAGGTATGCACGAAGTGGCCCCATCCAAATAATTATGATTCGGCTTCGGTTCGTGGCGTGCGTGCGATTCGACGCTGCGCGGGGGCGATGGCGTGTCGGCTAAGGCAAATGACAAATCTCATACACAAATGTCTAATCCAATTCCGTGGTCCCTCGTCGTGGTAATCGCGCGATTGTCCCGTGCCTGTCCCGTGGTTGTCCCGTGTCTATGCCACGGTTGTGCCGTGGGTTATCCCGCGGTTGTTCCGCTGGCTGTCCTATGTCCCGTGGGTTGCCCCGTGGGGTATGCCATGGTTCGCCTCTGGGTTGTCCCGCTGGTAGACCCTGATGGGCGGGTCGGGAAGGCGGGCCAAGGCGACCAGGTCGAGCAGGCGGGTTGCCGAAGCGTGAGCATAAATCGCCAGGAAGTCTCGAGCGATAGCGCGATTCCCACGTAAATCGTGAGATAGGCCAAAGCGACAGCGTGATTCCGAAGGGTTGGAGGCGTGATGCTTGACGATATTGCGAGGAAGTCCCACGAGAGAGCGCGACTCCTCCATTAATTCTGCGGAAGTACCGCGAGAGAACGCGTATTCGGAATAATTTGTGAGGAAATGTAAGGGGGGAACCGTTCTTGTTGAAACTCGGGGGCCAGGGGCCAAATTTGGTGACCCCTCGCTACCCTTTGTAAAAAAACAGGTTGCGAGCACCGGGAAGAACACTAGAACTGAACGACACCACGTGCCCTGGAGGGCGGGATCAAGAATAAGCATTCTGCAGAAATGAGAACTCAACAACAACAACAACACAACCAACAACAACAACAATCACAACAACAACAACAACAACAACAACAACAACATCAACACCACCACCAACAACAACAGTAGCAGCAGCAGCAGCAGCAACAGCAACAGCAACAACAACAGCAACAGCAGCAACAACAACAACAGCAACAACAACAACACCAACACCAACACCACCACCACCTACAACAACAACAACAACCACAACACAACAACAACGACGTCATAACAACAACCCGCACCGCGAAACCGCACACCAGCCACTCGCCCAAGGACAATCGATGACCGTTCAGCCCCCTCACTCTGACAAATCAACCATCGAGTCATTGACATCGAAGCGCACTTCACATTGATATCAATCAACATGGACATCGAACTTGCCATCGCCATGCAATCGAAACACACATCCGAATGCAGAGCGACAAGCGAATCGGGACGATACTCGAAATGGAGGTTACTCAACACCCCACTCTCCTTATCTGAAGGGTTGTCCGTGAGATCTCTCAGATATTTCTTACAGCTCTGCCAATTCGTCAAGTTTGTTATACATCGCATGCCTTGCAAACGAATGTCAGTGAAACGTCTGGCCACCTGGACAGGCTGTCCGGTGGGCGTGGCAGAAACTCGGCTTACAACACCGGTCAATGATCGACGGCAGGCTCAGCCCACAACTGAGAGACGGAAGCGCGGGCGCTAGAAGCACTGTGCACCCACGGACGCTGGACACGGACACCGTTGATCGCGTCGTCTAGCGATCCACAAATCCCAAATCCATATAATCCGTGGCACCCTTTGGGAGGCCAGCTGTGGCTTCCGCGATCCACCTGCGGAGCCACCCTCGTTTTGCTTCCCAGGCAAGGGCCCCCAAAGGTCGAAAACTGCCAACAATCATCCGTCGTGTTCTCTCGACGCCTTCGCGGGACTTCTCAGAAGCCCTCGCGCCTTCTGAGAAGTGTTCCGCGTCTTCGGGGAAGGCTTAGAAAACTTACCAGAAGGCCAGAGATCTGCCGAGACTTGTGAGAAAGCCCGCCACTTCTCACTTCCCACCAAGGCGTGCCGCCGAGTTCATCCTGAAACGACCGGCCGTTTTCGAAACGTCAGATCGTTCCTCATAGACCGACGCTGGGTCGCCGGCGGCGTTCAGCGTTGAACGCCGGCGGCGGGGTCGCCGCCGGTCGACGGGTCGGATCGGAACGTGCGTCGGATCGGGCTGCATCGGCACGGCACGGAGGCGAGACCAAATCTGCCGCGCCAGGATGCGCAGTCGCGCCATGCAAGCACCGGACTGCATCGGATCGTCGGAGTATCGGGTGTGGGGGGGGGAGAGCAATTTGACTGAGATGTGCCTCACGATGGGAAGAATATCGTACAGGCTCGGCTTGTCCAGGCACGCGCATACGACTTCGAATATGAAGCCGAATCCCCAATGGAGAAGGCAGTCCGTTTCACTTCGGTCCACCCCCAGCCTCCGATGTACAGATACACGTAAGCACACCTGTAAAGACACAAACGCACATGCTGGTATATGTTGGAACCCGCACTGGGACATGTGAATGGCGCTGCGAAAATCGATACGCACATTTCTTCCGAGGAATTCCCCCTATGCCTTAAGGGAGGCCGGCGGGGTATATAATCGTTGGCTTCCAAATGTGGTTTGCACACCGCTACCCTCCCCTGAGGCCAAGAGCAATCCACTGGGGGGTGTCTGCGTGCATAAATGTTTCATCGGGTGCTTGCGCTCGCGCACACGCGAATTCACATCATTGCTGTGCACATACACGTACTTGGTAAACAACACTTCAAAGGATACAATTTCCGGGCAGCGACAGGCCAACCTTGGTAGTCCCCAAACGTTGTGGTGACAACACCCGGCGGTGAGTCTCGGGCGATTTGGTGTCACCACCCGGTTTGGGGACTCGTGTGGTTTTTCGAGGATGTCCCGAACGCTGGTGGGTCCAGGAGTCACAAAAGCCGGCGGTGACCCCATGTTCCAAAACCCAGCGGTGACTTTTTGGGGGATTCCAGGTCGCCACCTGATATCTCACCGCCTGCTTTGGGGGCTCCCAACAAGCGCGGGGGGCCCGCGGGGAGGAACAAACAGACCGGAGAATCCCACGCGGCCCCGCCTCGCCCGCGCGCGCGACAGGAACCGACGTCGGAATCCGATCGCCCTGTGGGGCGGCACTCTCTTCACTCCGGTGCCATCCCCCCACCTCCAATATATCTTTTGCGTGGAATTGCGCAACCACTTTCCAGTCGCTGCACGGAGTGGTTAGCTTGATTCATGACGCGTGCAGACCTCACAAACGCCCAGCAGCCGCTCGGAACCGGCCCCCGCGCCCCGTCGGGCGCCAATCTCCGAGCCGCTTTCCAAGCCGCGCCAGGCCGTGGCGACGGAGCCGCTACTCCTCCTCCTCCTCCTCCTCCTCCTCCTCCTCCTCCTCCTCCTCCTCCTCCCTCCTCCCTCCTCCCTCCTCCGCTTTGATGCTGATCAGATGGAAGGTCCGAGCTTGTTGCGTCGATCTCCTCCTCCTCCCTGCGCGTAAATCAACCAGGAGTTCCCGAAGCTTTACGACGAGGCAAGCAGAGGCGCAGCCTCAACTGTACATCTGTGTGTCGAGGCAACCCATCTTGAGAGTTCGGTGTCGCTGACCCTGCCGCCCAGTACCAAGTTGTTAGGTCTGATCTTCTTGGCGCTGCCTCTTAGACGAAACCAAGACGAGGATAAATTCGTGTGGAGATAAATCGGAAATCTCTGAGATCTGGCGGCTCTGGAGGATGTCTCGGGCGCCGCGGCCTTGTCCGAGCGTCCCGGAACGCACTGAGAGCGTTCTGAGAGCGTTCCGGAACGCACTGGAACGGAGTTGTCCTCGTCCTGGCCCCGCCCGATCCTCCTCCCTCTCGGTCGTCGATCACGGCTCTGCAGCCGCGGTTTGCGCCCCACCCCCCGCGGCCCGACCTGGCGAACCAGGCCTCTACAGCGCCCATGGTGAAAGCCACGACTTTGCAGGGCGGCACGCTCCAGGGACTGGCGCAAACGGGGAGGCCTTCTCCGCAGGCAGGGCATCTTCTGCAAAGACAGATCATCATTGGATGCCAGACTTGTTCGGTCGCGATCGGCAACGATCGATCGGCACTCCAAATCGGTCGCGACCGATCGCGACCGATTCCAGAGACAATCACGACTGGTCGCGACCGATCGCGACCCATCGGTCGTGACCGATCGGCCGCGACAAATTTTTAAACACACCGGTCGCGACCGACACGAGAATTTGCAGCAGAATCGGTAGCGACCGATCTCGTCGTTCGCGACCAGAGAGTTCTGGCATCAAGGGATCAGGGAGGGGGGTGGCCTTCTACGGAAGCAAGGGAGCTTCTAACAAGACACGGGAATACTCAGAAGCAGACCTGGCTTCTACGAGGCTTTATTCGAAGCCTCCTAGCCCTGCTAATGAGGCCCCTGCCAATGCGCGCGAAGCGCGCCAGGGGGGCCCAGCGCCGATTCGAGAAACCCGCGCGACCCTCCAAAAAACCTAGGTCTGTGCAGATTCCCGCGACACCTCCACGCGCACGCCACCTTGAAACCGTTTATTATTCGTTTTTGTTCGGCGATGCCCCCGGTTATCCAGCGGGGGGGGGGGTTCTGGCCGATTTTCAAACTGTTTTCGCTTTGGCAGCCCCGCAAAGGCCCGCGCGCACCAGTATTGCATACACCCCTCGGACCTGCGCGAGCGACAAGGTCAGGTCTTCAGGGGGGAGGGGTGGGGGCGGGCGGGCCCGATAACTGGGACCCTCCAAAAATCGATGCCCACTTGCGTAAGACATGACCAGGCCGCCCGACCCAGAAGACGACCAAGCGGAAAGCTCTGGCCCGAGGCGGAAAAACGCCGCGAGCCGCGTGCACGACCGGCTGACCGCCGCCACCGTGGAGGGCAGCGCCTCACAGCCTGTACAGCCTGCCGAGCTGCTTCCGCGGCTCCGCCTGCTGGTGGACCACCTTGCGATCCACCAGCGACAAGGCCCTCGTCAGCACTGTGGGCGACGCTGGCGGCGAGCAGGGAGGCGTCGGCGCCAGAGGCGCCAGCGGCGCCAGCTCCAGCACCGGCCCCGGCGGCCTCGGCCACCGCGCCACCAGGCGCAACACTTGGACGCCGGCCGCTGGCGTCGGCGGACCGCTGCCCGCAAGCTCGTCTGGCGCCCGCGCCAGCGGGTCGGGGCGCAGCTGCGAGGCCTCGTGCAGAACTTGCACGGCGGCCTCTGCGGACGGCGCGTCCGCGTGCACGGGACCAGGGCAGGCTGCCAGCGGGGCGGGGCGCGCATCGGTCAGCCCAGCCATCGGAGTGGTGCTGCCAGACACCGCGCCGAGGGGGGGCATGTCCGCGGCGGCTGCCGCTGCGGCCCCGCCGCGCGACCAGGCGAGCGGCTTGCCTGCGGCCAGGGCGACGGGCTCGCTGTCACCAGCGGCCCACTCGAGCCCAGAGGCGGACGACCCATCCGACTCCGACTCCCAGGCGCGGCCGCTCTCCTCCTGCCATGCACCGCCAGCCTCCTCTCGCTCATCCGCTGGGCCTCCCCCGGCCGTGCCGCCCATCAGTCCCGGCGCCCACGCGTCAGGCCTGGCGTGATCGGGGTGGAGGCCGCCTGGTTCTGTGGCAACTCATGGGTGCCTACCATACTGAGTTGCTGGCTCTTACGAGTCGGCTAACCGACGCCAACCGACTCCGATCGAGACCAGTCGCGGCTAAATCGGCGCTTGATCATCGATTGCCAGACGCTACCGCGTGCTGGTGCACTCTGAGGTCAGCAATGCCGCCATGCGAGGACATGCAAGGCTCCCGTGATTTGCTACCGAACGCCTCGGCTGTGCGAGCGGCCCGTGCCGCTCGGGCTGCGGGCCAGTGGCGTGCTGGGCGAGGCAGTGCCGTGCTCCTCGGCCCAGCTGCGGGGCGGCAGAGCGGCCTCGCCGTCGCAGACCGCGCTCCCAGGCCGACGGGTCTCCTGCGGCGAGGCGTCCAGGGCCCTGCCGCGACTGTCTGATGCCTCCAGGCAGCGCCTGTCGTAGTCCTGCACTTGGCTGCCCCGGTGCGCAGCACGAAACCCGTTGCATATGCTGACACGGAGCTCTCAACGCGCAGATTGAAAACGCGCGTTCGGGGCGATGCGCCCGCCCCAACGGGGGCCAGCAGGTGCCGAGCAAGCGCGCACCGTGTTCAGGTGTTCAGGACGGACGCGCTGAGCACGGTGCGCGCTGCGTTCCAAGACAGGCGTGCCGGGGCAGCCAAGGTCCTGCAGCCAGGCCTCCCTCCGCGCCTCGACCTCCTGGGCAGCCCTCTTCCTGGCCTCCGACTGGCTCAGCCGGTGCCAGGCGCTGTACTGAAGGTAGGCGAGGAGTGAGACACCGTACACCGCGAGCGTGGCCACTGACCACAGGTTGAACAAGCCGCCGTCGGCCCCGTACCACTTCAGCGAGTCGATGTCGTCGGACACGCTGAACTTGCCGAAGAGGCTTTCGTTCATCCAGTACAGCACGTGGCACACCAACACGTGAATGACAGCGCCTAGGGCGAACGTCCAGCGGGTAAACCGCGGCACGTCTGCCCACACTACGGCACACCTGCGGGCCACCTCTGCATCGCGGAAGTCCAGCCACTCCAGCTCTGCATTCTGAGGCAGAGGCCTCTGTAGCTCGAAGTGGTCCTTCTCCAGGCGCCCCTGAATGGCCCACAGCGCGAGCATCCACAGCAGCAGGCTGACCAGGAGCGACAGGAGCGTCATCAGGTTGGCTGCTCTGCTCCAGATCGGGCTCGAGCCCTTCTCGGGGGCTGCTAGATCCCCCTGGCCCAATGTGCCCCCAACTTTTCGCTCTGTCTTGGAGCCCCTGGGCCCTTTGCGTCTCGTGACGTCTCGTGAGGGGTGTTCTGGAGGCCGTGGGGACCTTCTCGGAAATGCAGGGGGGCAACTTGGGCCAGTGGCGCTTCCAGCAACGCCCGACCTTCTTCAAATAGAAAGAACCGGTGAGGGCGCACGGGATCACGAAGAATATGATGGGCAGGGTCCCCAGCTCGCACTGCCACAATGACAACCGCAGCACGCCCGCCAGCACCGAGGTGGGCCAGTCCGGCCCGCCGCAGAGGATAGCAACCTTGCCGACCGTCCAGCCAGGCTGCCTCAGCTCGGCCTCGATGCACCTACGACGGGAATGATGCTATGATGAGATCGGCTCAAGACACGTTCCAGAAGCTCCATCTTATCTAGCGGCCCTGCCTCCTGCGGCCCGCGTGGAAGGTTTTGACATCTTGGGGATCCCGGAACGTATCCCTATGATGGCCGAAGCCGCACTAACGGCGATGATGCTTAACGGTGGTGTTGGGACGTAACTTGTAGGACATCACGAACCACACTTTCCTACATCCCCAACATGCGAATGTCTCGAACAAACACTGCACAGCGAATAGTAACAGAAGCACAGGCCACGCGCCCCTACAATACCGAAACCTACCTCACCGTTACTTACATCGCCATTCGCGCGTCTACGGGATGACCCCCTTGCTCTTCTGAGCGCCGGATCATGGGCTTGTGCACGCCCACGGCTCGGCGCACAGACAGGCTCCTCCCGAGCAGCTCGCCGATGCACTTCTGCTGCACGGCGCAGGCCACAAGCTTCAGCAGCAGGCCCACCGCGATGTTCACGAGTGCTCCGACCCAGAAGCGCGTCTCGGGGCCCGCGCCCCAGGAGCACGTCTTGGACAGCACGAGGCCCCCGAAGATGTACACCGTCAGCCCAGGCACCCACGGCACGAGGAACGCCCCGATGCCCGTGCAGAACACGACCAAGATTATGACCTCAAAGGGCCAGCTGGCGAGGGCCCTGCTGAGCCAGGCGAGCAGGACGTTGAGCAGCACAGGGCAGACGGCGTAGCAGCAGTACATGCCGCAGAGCATGTACACGAGGGGAAGAATCTGCAGCCACGGCCAGCTCCCCCGGACGTGGACCAGCACGAAGTACACCCGCGGCGTCAGCGGCAGGGCGGCCAGGCCGGACGTGAAGCCGGACCACTCCTCCCAAGACGCGTCCGCGTCCATGGGGATCCGCTGGTAGAGCCCCCGTGCCCGTCGGACCAGCTGCGTCGCCCAAGACATCACCTGGGAGGAAGAAGGCCGATGGAAGCCATTTTTTGATTCGCGGGTCGAGAGCGCACCTCTTCCGGTCGAAGCGAAGCGGGCCGCGCGAAGCTTGAATTAACCAGAGATGGAGGAGGAAAAGGAGGGCGCAGCCCCAGAACGAGGCCGGCAGGCCGATCGAAACAGGCCTCTGTGAGGCCCAGATATAAATCGAGAAAGGCCCAGGGGGTGCCGCTGTGGCCCGGGGCGGCCAAGAGGGGGGCGTCCAAGAGGGGGGGCGCAAATCATGGCCGGCCGGCCTGGGGGGAGGGGGTCCCACCCTCCGGTCACCAAGATCGGGACAACGAGGGGCAGGAAAGCGAGCAGCATCGCACGCGCCCAGCTCGCGGCCGCCACGGCGCGCACCACCTTGCCCACGGGGTGCGCGGCCAACCGCCTGCCCATGTCCGCCACGATGCGCTTGAAGGAGTGATACACCAACACGACGATCGGAGGAGGGCTAGTCTTGGGTCGGGCATGTCCGTCTACAGGCGGACTCTCGCAGAAAAATGAGACATAGAAGAACATACGTTCAAATAGTAAAAAAAACAGCAACATCGTCCCCAGGCGATTTTTTCTGATTCCTCCTGTAGAGGGACATGCCCGACTTAAGGCTAGTCAACGGCGGCTCTCCCCATCATGCTTCGCCTTTTTGGACCCCCTCGAGGCCTCCCATCGCCCCGACTGCAGCCGCCTCGAAAAGGCGGCCAGGAACGCGCCTGGGCCAGCGGCCAAGCAGGAGAGCCGCCGTTGCCTCCACTGGCCCCCCTCCGACATGAAGACGACGAACACGACCACGACCAGCGCCACGAAAGTGTCCGCCGTCTTCATGTCGGTGTACATGAGCTGCCCAGCAACATAAAACATGCCGAAGATCCGCGCAGGCGCCGTAGGCACGGCATGGGGTGTTCTGTCCGGCCCCTCCGAGCTCTCTGCCCTGAGCCTATCTTGCGGAACTCTTTTCAAGAGCAAGGGGGCCCAGACTTCCCCGGCGCTCTGCGGCGGTCTCTGGGCGGCTGGCGCGACCGTCTCAAAGGCCTCGGGAGCGTGGCCAGGATCTCACACTTTCTGAAGCCCTCTTGGGCGCCTCCGGGGTCATGCTGGCGGCACGGGAGGTGCATCGAGTTCCCGGGAGCTTCTGTACTACTTTAGCAGGCTCGGCTTTCTGGTCTCCTGCAGATGCCGTCGACTGCGCCCCTGGACGGCCCCTGAGGACCCCCAGACGGCCCAGGAGGCTACAAAACACGGCCCCGAGAGGGGCCAACGAGGCAGAACTCGACCTGGCATCTCGAGCACCAAGGCGGCCGATGCACCCAAAGGCCCACAAGAGCCCTCCCGCCCGCGACCCGGTCACGGTGGCAGGACGGGCCGAAGGCAGCCCGATCCGCCGCCCCCTGTCGATTCATCGCAGGGGTGCCTGGCGTGCTGGACCTCTCGGTTTTGGTTTTGGTTCGTTTTTCAAAAGAACTCCCCCTGGCGCTTCGGCCCGTCCCGCCGGCCGCCCCCCAAGACCCGCAAGACGCACACGCCATCGCCCAATCCCAATTCTTCCTCCAAGACGGCCCAACATGGCCTCCAGGATGGTCACGTTGGCCCAAGATGGCCTCCAAGATGGTCCAAGATGGCCTCCACGTCCACCCAAGATGGTCCAAGACGGCCTCCGAGACGGCCCAGGAGGGTCCAAGATACCTCCAAGTTCGCCCAAGAAGCCTCCAAGACGGCCCAAGACGGACCAAGAGGCCTCCAAGAGGTTCTCCAGGAGGGCCCGAAGAGAACAAAATTGTCCACTTTACTATGGTTTTGGAAGGATTTTGTTTTTTTGTCGTTTCGGCTTCCAGACGCTCCAAGACAGCCCAGGAGGCCTCCAAGAGCGCCCCAAGACGGCCCAAGAGGCCTCCAGGTGCGCCCCAAGACGGCCCAAGACGGCCCAAAGACGGCCGCAAGAGGGCCCAAACACGGCCCAAGAGGCCTCCAAGTTGCCCAAGATGGCCTCCAAGACGGCCCCGAGGCGCCCCCAGAGGGCCCCAAGTCGGTTCAGAGAGGCCCCCAAGACGGGCCGCGCCGCCCGGCGCGGACGCAAAGCGCGGAAGTCTCCCGAATTCTTCCTCCAAGACGGCTCAATAACTATGGCCTCCAAGATGGCCACGTTGGCCCAAAATGGCCTCCAAGATTGTCAAAGATGGCCTCCAATATGCCTCCAGGCATCCCCCCCCCATTCTCCTTTTTCCTCTTTCTCCTCCTCTTCCTCTTCCTCCCCCACGTGTTCCCCGAAGGTTTTCCAAACCGACTCGGGGAACACATGGTCCAATAGCTTGGTCAAACTCTAGCCCAGCTGTCGGCCACATAGGCGCTTCCACAAGGGCAGGGGGCGGCGGTGATTCGCCGTAGGCGTGTTCGATAATCATAAAAACGCCGCAGGTCGCCTTCAGCATCTTCGACATCTGCTCCACGGCCTCCGCGTACTGTTCCGAATCTTGGTGTTGCCTCTCCTCCTCACTTACCTTTCTGGGTCTGCGACGTCTCGTTGCTCTCATGACAACGCTCTTTGCCGTCTTCGACATCTCGGGGCTCTTCCATGCCTTCATCGCGCAGGCGATGAGCTGATTCCTGTGCTTGTCGGTAGCCACGTAGGTGTTGTTCATGAGGAGGCGGAGGCCCATAAAGAGCCCGAATGCCATGTTGGACCAGCCGACGATAATTGGCGCGGCCCAGAGGAAGTACTCCAGTTCCTTTTCTCTCTCGCTCAATCCCCCTGGTGTGACGTAGTGCGTGACTTGGTGCGTGGACAACGCCCAATACAACCACCAGGCGAAGCTCAGCGTGGAACTCAAAACAAAGCCCGCCCTGCCCCCATGATAAAAGTTGATGAGGTCCTCCTCCCTGTCCAAGATGGCTGCGAGTAGCGACATCTGTAAGGTCAGGTTCCCAGAGGATACCACGACATTCTTCGTCTGCTCGGTGATCCTGGCTGGCCTCGTGGCCAGCCGAATCGCAGCCACGCTAATGGGCGAAAGGGTCACCGTCAGTAGCAGAGGGAGGCTCGGGAGGTCCTTGGCCATGAGGAAACCGGATGCGATGAAGCAGACAACGGCGAGGGCGAACAAGCAGGGCCCCACGCAAATGTCGCCCTCCCAGAGCTTACGCGTGGAACCGGGAAGGTGGGGCGGCCTGAAGAAGTCGAGAAGTAAGAGCGCAGCAAGAATCAAGCTACCAACGCCCAGCGAATACACCCGCAGGTTGTCGTGGGTCTCGAGCCACAGGACGACCTCGTGCCCCACGCCTACGACCTGGCCGCCAACGCCGATGCTGGACCACAGCAGGATCGTCGCCACGGAGGTGCTCGCACTGACGGCGCAGCAGATGCAGACGTACCGGCGGTACGTGCAGCGGGTCTTGCCGAGCTGCGCTACCTGGCGAAACCAAGACGCGACGATACTGCTACTCCCTGGACCCCTCCTGGGGTGCGTTCTGACCAGAATTTCGAGGCGAACCCGACGGTGGCGACGACGACCTTCCAAGAGGTCCAACAAAAAGCAAAAAAAAGAAACAAATGTAGCGGTACCGGTCCCTTCCCCTCCCCTGACATGCCGCCGCATACGGATTTCTTACCATACGTTGTTGCATCCACGACGTATCCGACAGCCGGGTCGGCCATCCGACCGGGATTCCAGCCCACGCGTAGGATAAGGATGTTAGGGAGCACACAAAGGACGTACGCGCCCAGCTATGTACATGAACACGGCCCCTTGACCCGCGAGACCTGCCGCGCGATACGAACATTCGCGCAGTGCAAACTCTCAAAACCAGCGTGGATTCATGTACATGTACGTCCTTCTTTCGCTCCTGAGATGTACGATCAGGACGCAAAGGGCCTCGGAAGGCCGTGTCGACACGTTTCGAGCGATGTGGGCACCGTTTCTTCCTCGGACCACCTGGCGCATCACGTCCGCGACCACGTCGGCGGCCACAGGGCCGGGCGTCGGACTGCCGGGCGCCGGCGCGAGGACGGCGGTCGGTGGCGGCGAGGCAGAGGCGGCGTCCGGGGAGGAGCTGCGGCCGCCCGCGGCGGGCGGCGAGGGGAGCCGCACAGTGCTGGAGGGGCGCAGGGCCACGGCCGGTTGCGTGATAGTCGGCCCCTGGCCAAACATGTAGCCTGGCGAAGCACCCAGCCACCGGCAGCTTTGAGCACCGCGGGGGTGGGCATCGTCCTCGGTGGAAGGTCCCGCTGGGGCCACTTAGGCGCGCGAGGGGCGTGCCCGAGTGGGGCGGCGGGCCCTATGGGAACGCCACGACTGGAGCCTTCGGCGGAACTCCCTTTGGGGCCACTCGGGCTTGCACTCAAGATCGCATGATTGCCCACGATGGACACACATTGGCAATTTTCCGCTGCCCACGGCCAATTGTGAGCCGCGCCCACGTTGCAAAGCGTGGGGCAACTAGGAAAGGGCATGCCGCTCCTGGGCAATGTCTCCCAGCGTGGGCCCGAAACAACGTGCTTTTAGCAATATGCATGTTGCTATTTATGTGGGGCACCTTGTAAGGTGCATTATGTGTGGTGCAACTTGCGTGGCGCAATCTAGTTTGTGCAACCGAAGTTATGCAATCTACGACGCCCGATTTATATAACGCAATTTGCGCGGCGCAAGATGTGGTGCAGTTGGTCTTTCACAACCGAGTTGGCAAATCCCACGCTCTCGCTAACATCTTATTCACCCACCCGCACCTTGGTTTGAAGCACCCATGCGGGGGCGATTGCGAGAAGTGTTTGGCGTTGGCTGGTGTATCTCTGCGGCCGCGCGAGCCCACGCGCGCTCGCGCGCACAGCGGCCAGCTAATTTGGCGCGATCGATGCGACCGCGATGGCGCTGCCCGCTGGGCACTTCCCAGTGAGCACCCTTGCGCGGGTCGATGACTTGGGCGGG